TAAGTTTCAATTCCCACTTGTTCCCATATGGCTCCTCCATCTGGGTAATTGTATCCTCAGAGGTTCCTGAATTTAGATAGTTTACTTTAGTTGCCTTTCTGTGTTACTTATAAATGTCTTTGCTGGATGATTTGGCTAATTAGACGAGAATACTCAGTGCTTCTGTGTTGGTTTATTTTGTGACCTCAGATTAACTAGAACTCTAGAGATGGGAAAAACTGAAAAATAGGGCACATTTCTTCAACAGACTGAATGGGAGTCTGCAGTATATTTAGCTCGCCATGTTGCTGCTTGTGGCCACACGGAACAGATGTTGTAACCTTTATAGAAGATCAGCGTATTGTAGCTGCATTTAAAACAGGTCTAACATGAGGTTCTGTGTCCCTGTAGGCCTGCGTGTGCTGCTGTTGTCAGGATGCTCCTGGGTGGCGGTCTCTGCTCTTTGCACCTCCAGCTGTCCTCTTCTGCGAACTCTGGATGTTCAGTGGGTTGAGGGACTGAAAGATGCCCAGATGAGGGACCTGCTGTCGCCTCCTACAGATAACAGGCCAGGTACCAACCTGTCAGTCTAAACAGTCTGAGGCTTTAGTGGCTGAATGAGTGAGCATGAACTTGGAATAATAGGAAATGAATGAGAGGAGTGGGTATTATTGTGTGTGTCAAATCTAAACACATTTAAAGTGACTGGATTATTCCATAGTGGTTAAATCTGTCATTCATCCGCTGGAGCATGTAAACATAAAGAATAAGACTGGTGATATTCAAAACCATTAATACTCCCTAGCCTGTTAGTGGCACTTAGTCCCAAGCCCAATGATTCCCGCTGAATACAGAAAGACTTTAAATGGGTCTCAAATATATAGTTTCATTTTTCATACAGACTAAATCATTTCTTCTCTGGGCACGGTAGTTTTTAGGAAAACTTACTCAAACACAATTAAAAAGTGCATTTGTTTGGGACTATTTTCAGCCGTGGATTAATACACGGGTCGTAATTGGTTATTTTCACCAGCAGGACAGTATATGGGGGATTAACTCAAAAAAAAAAACTATAGTGCCAGTGTTTATTGTAATAAACATTTTCAGCCAGCACAGCAGTGTGTCTCGTTAATGTGTTTTTAATAGTTTTGAACAACAATAGAGCTCTATGGCACAGAGCAATAAGCTGTGTCAGGCTTAGGATACACAGATAATACTTGTTAGAGGGATAATTTAATTGTCGCTTTTGGTCTTTCATGGGATCTGTTGAATGTAAGGAAAATATAGTTTATTGCCAGACTCATCCTTTAATTTCATGTATATAGCACGCTTTACCTTGATTTTGTCTCACATCTGGCTTCTTGCACAAGGCTCATTCATATATGATCAGACAGATATTTACTATATACGTTTTCTACTTTTTTTCTCCATCCCTCTGTTAATCTCTTTCCCTCTTTAAAAAAAACAACTGTGCAGGTCAGTTAGACAACAGGAGTAAGCTGCGTAATGTGGAGGATCTGCGCCTCGCAGGCTTGGACATCACAGACACGTCTCTGCGCCTCATCATACGTTACATGCCCTCGTTGTCCAAGCTGGACCTCAGCTACTGCAACCACGTCACCGACCAGTCCGTTAACATCCTGACCGCTGCAGGGACGACCACCAGAGACTCGCTCACTGACATCAACCTGTCAGGTAGGAGCCTGTCTTTGTTGGCTGTAAGTTTGCCTGCATTTGACTTTGCCCCCCTAATGGCTTAATTCTGAATTTATTAGATGTATTGTATTTTCATTGATGGCCACAGTGGATTAAACTTCCGATGATGTAAATAAAATATTTGCCTTTAGTTAAAGGACCATAGTGTTTTTTTTTGCACATTTACCTAATTAATATATATATATATATATATATATACTTCACACTACTGCAGAACATTCTCCTAAGTACATGCCTTTTTTTCCTACGTTTCAGACAATGACTGTTTTTTCAGCCAACTTTCTGGGAGACCTGAACTTGTGACAGATGTGAAGCGCAGCGCGATGGTCATTTCAGATTCATTTCAGTTAAATTTTATTTATATAGCGCTAAATCACAACAAAAGTTATCTCATTGCCAACAGGAAATGATTGGAAAAACTCCTACTGAAACCAAAGTATGTCTGGATGATACCGTGAGAAGTAAATCTAAACACCTACATTTTTATGTGGGAACGTTATTTGGCACACCTTAGTTAAACAAATGCAGTCTTAACACAACAATCCCACAATAAATCCGAGCTTCACAAGGGTTTTAATGTTTGTTTGTTTTTTGTTGTTTTTTAAAACAGTTTGTGGGAGTTAGTAGTTTGTGGTGTTATTTCTTCTTCTTGTATTAGAGGCATGAAATAAATTTAAAAAAAATCAAGATTTTAGATAGAATTTCGTGCACAAATGCTAAAAATAACAAGATCTTACACTTGTTATCTCTCTGGAATACCATAAAATATTAAAAGCAGTGAATCAAAGGGCCATTATGGAAACAGCTGAAAGGCAAATGCATTCATGTCGGGTGCTGCAGTCTCCACATTTATCCCAAAACACTTCTCACCACAATGAGGCTTTTTGGATGTCCTGTCCAGAATGTCCTGAAGGGTTGACTGATCCATGCGTGTTATAGCTTGTGTCAGTACAGGTGACCCGTTACGCATCAGTTGTCCTTTTCCTCCTAACCCTGTTTTCTCCCTGCAGTCTGTAACAGGGTCACAGACCAGTCCCTGACCTATTTCAAGCGCTGTGGAAGCATATGTCACATCGACCTGCGGTACTGCAAACAGGTGACCAAGGAAGGGTGCGACCAGTTCGTTGCAGAAATGTCAGTCAGCGTGCAGTTTGAACTGATAGAAGAGAAACTGCTGCAAAAGATCAGTTAGGCAGAGGAGCATGGAAGACATTGACTCGTGGTAAAACTACTGTCCACATGGAGGCAGCAGATGACTGTTTGCTTCTGGAGAACGACGCTGTGTTTCATAAACATCTGCGCGCCACTAAACATAGACGGTGTCTCTTTCTGTAATAACTGATACTGAAGCTGTGCTGCTAAGCCAGAATGTAAAAATGGAACATTTTGTTGTTGTTTGCACCTGTTTATAAGTTATTTATTTCTTTATATTGATTGTTTATGTATTGTATCATGATTATCTTTTGGTGTTTTATAGATTATTTTTGGTTCCAATGCAAAGTCTGTTGCATTATAGAGTAATATTTTTGTATCAGAAAGTGTTTAATACATTTATGTGCAGCATTGATTGCACCACTGTACAGTATCATAGCATTGAAACTGATAATCAATCGGCATTACTGTTAAGCTCTTTATTGTTGAGAGGCGAGTTCTAATGATTTGTTGCCAAACTGTAGGATGGTAGCTTGTTTATGCGTGGGTGTTTTTAACATTTTATTTCATTGTTTCTGATTGGACAAAGGTACTGTACATTTTGTTTTCCATATAATGGTACCATGTCAAAGTTTAAAAAGTTATTTGCACTGATGCAGTCAATATGAATACACAGATGTATTCACACATACACTATACAGTGTAGTGTATAAAGCGTATATTTTCAACACTACAGTGTTCTGCTAATTGTACTAATGGCTTCTTGTTAACTGGGTTGTACTAAGACATACTCTCTGCCAGGCTCCATCACTCATTAGTATCATTGGTGCTTTGTGAAAGGAAGCATTTTAGCTCTGCATGCAGCAAAGAAATATGTTTACACCACAGTCAATAGATTTAGTAACTGTTAAACAGTATAACCACCCTTTTATGCCTTTATGTCTTTAGCTTAACTCCATATGATTTTAAAAAAATTACAGTCAGTGCTGGATCATGCAAGAAAGAAAGAATCAGCAAAGTCCAGGAATAGCATATTACATTTGCAAAAATCTTTTTGAGGAGACAGTTTTCTACCATGTGACAGAAGTGACATGTGTAACTCAGGCGTAATCAGTCAAAGGGGCTGAATGAAAAATGAAAAAGGATTCTTACTTATTTTCACCTGAAACAGGGTCATTTATTCAGTATATTTCAAAATTGTCATGACCCCAGGAATTTGAGTATAGCATTGTGATGTATTCTGTTTCCAAGGGGCGGGAATTAATATATTTTTTATTTAAAACGTATGAAGCCAGTATTTGTGAATCCACATCAGTCTCCGTATGAGCTTCTGACCACAAGGTTGAGACCAAATACACTTTATACAGTGTTTTTTTGAGTGTGAATTGGATCATAGGCCCTAGATGTACCTGTCATTTAAAGACACCTTTTCTGAAAGATTTCTGCAAATGTACAAGAGAAAATATATTTAGTTTGTTCTTTTTTTCTTAGTCAGAAATTCCACTGAAATAGACATTTATTACCACTGGTTGTTTTCTTATTAAGTTTTATTTTTTGACTTTTAAACATCCAAAACCTATGGCATCAGTCAGTAGCATTATCAGAAGTATTGTTGTTATGCTTTCATTCATCATAATATTTAAAGTTATATAAACAATTGCAAATGTTGCTCTTGGAACTCAATAGTTTAATGATTTGATAGGTTTGTGTTTTTCCTGAAAACTAAACTTTTTTAGAAGTAAAAGTCTTTGTGTAACTTTTGAATAGCACTTGATACTGTTCAGTGGATGGGTTTACATTTAAACTATTTTTTTTTTTTAAGTAAAACAACCATGTCTCCATGAAATATTTTAGTACATTACTGTAAATGCTCAATCTGTACATAATGTACATGTAAAGCCTCTAGGAAAAGTTAAGTCAACCTTTGAGATATTAAATCCATTTTAAATACTGAGCTGTGTGTGCATTTGGTCCATTTCATTTTTGAAGCATTTTGTATAAATAATGAACATGATTATATGTTCAATCTGGAATATTGCTGTTATTAGATTTATATTATTATTTATAAGTATTTCACCGTATACCGACAACTCTTAGCTGTAAGTGAACAAAATGACTGACTACAAAATGAAGAGCAGGGTTTAACTTTCTGGTTTGTAGTACTGCATTTTATTGAATCTAATAAATCATTTTCTCTTGTTTACCAAAATAAAAAAAGGTTCAACAATCCAAAATATAAAGATCCAGGATTATGAGTGCTCAGGATAACCCCAACTCTGATAATACTGTAGCTGCCCATGAATGACATCTTTGAGAAACAGCAGCATCGACATTTACAGACTCGCAGAGTTACAGTGTTTGTTACCGTGCATGGTGTCAGTGTCTGTTTTGGATCTGAAGCAGACGGCGACAAAAAGTGCTAGAAAGCGAGACCATGACTGACGCAACTTTAATGGTGAGAGAGTGACACGGTCAAGAGGACTGGGGAACTCGTCTGACCAAAACCAGCAGAGATACATTCTGAAAAAACGGTATGTTTTATTTTTAAACCTCCGTAACAATTAGAATTTTAAATAATGTCGTCTCCCAAGTACATGGAAAAATATACATTTAATGACTTATCAGTAAACAACAATATAAGCTATCTATGTGATTCACTTGACAGCAATTCAGCTTCTTTCATCTATTTTTTGTTTATACATAGCACAGGCATACCGAACACAGATATTTTAGTGACATCTGAGTTAACTGGATCTCATGACAAGAAAACAAAGTGTTTCATTTGCATAACAGGTTAAAGTAAACCAGGCTTCCTCTACCTCTCACTGTGTGATGGATATTTGGAAGGACGCCTTGACAAAAAGGTATGTTGATGTTAACACTCAGAAAAGAGGAAGTAGCACCTGTTACATAAGATTTGACACGTTAAGGGACAACACAATCAAAGAAAGACACTTGGTAGACTGGGAAACTAAATGGTATTGCTTGGTGGAAGTTATTTAAAATGAAACAAAAAAAATCTTAACTCAAGGTCCTCTTATTAGCTTTTTTTCTGGAGCTTTCTGTTGCATCTCATGGTCTTCCTCAGGAGAAGTATGAGGCCTTTCACACAATCACATATGAGCACTTGATGTCAAGTGATGTTAAGCTGAGCCATCGCCACGGCACCTGAGCAAACTCCACAGCCAGTGTAACGTGGTTGAAAGCCTAGGAAGAAGCTAGAAAGTGGGCCTTGAGCTCAGATGTTTATTTTCTTTTTGTCAAACAGCTGTTTCAACTTTCACTCTTAGTAGATGTAGCAGGAATGTAGTGCAGCACATGGCGTGACCAGGCAGCAGGTTTTATGGCAGAAATCACATGTGCACATTTCGTTTTAGATCCGATTTTTACTTGTACATACTTTATTTTACTAAAGTTCATTTGAGAAAAAAATAGAGTAAACTATCACACCAAGCTTGCTGGTTATGAGATGCATATACTGTGAAATCTTAACCAAAAATCGATCAAAGGCATGACGTTTGGCACCTTACACCCTCCTGTGTGTGAGATGAGATGACTCGGTGCATGTAGTGTTTGGATTAATGAATAGACATTTCAATAAAGACACACATTACGTCTTTTTTTTTTTCTGATATTGCAAATCCTAAAGAACACTGAGGGAGATAACGCGGTGTCATGTGGCACGTCTGTGTAAACCATATTGACTCTAACCCTGGGATCTTATATTTTTCTTCAATCTTTGTCTCTTCACCGCCCAGAACAACCTGATCCACTTCAAGTATCTATGGAACCCACGTCCTCTACTCTCCCGTGAGTAAAATCTAAACAGAGAATAGGAAGTGAAAGTGATGGCAGGGGTTTCTGCTGTGTGTTTAAAAGACCAAAGAGAGAAAGAGCTGTCCCGGTGCAGCTGATGATAGTCCACCAGGAAGGAGAAGTGGGACTGGAACATGAGTTAGTAAAGGAGGGGACGGGAAACAAATCGTGGTAGGCAAGAGGCAACAGTCTGGTTTCAGAGACCGAGAAGTTGCTCGTGCCTGCTGCAGCATTAGGCCCTGCGAGACGTCATGCATGGCAGTTCATCCTCAGTGATGAATTCAGGGCTCGGTGCTTTCTGTGCACGCCTGAAGGGGCCACTCTGACGCGCGCACACACACAAAAGAGTTTTAAGACTTGAAGACGTGCACGGCCCGAACCACGTACTGCCTGCAGATGGGGCACTCGCTCATCCTCTTTCCGCACTTGGTGCAAGTTACCATGTGACCACATTCCAGCAGGACACAGTCGATGATGGCGTCCATGCAGATGCGACACAAGTTTTCATCAGCCGCCAGCTGAGCTTTGACACCATCTGTGGATGGAAATATGAAAAAAAATGTATTTTTTAGTTACAACGGTTCTCTGCAGGCTGTATTCACTGTATTGTTTGGAGTTCAGTGATGCTGTAGAGATGCTGTGCAGTCCAGCTTAAGCTACTGCAGTCTGAGAATAATCAACATAACAACATCATTCACCACAGTTTGGTCATTAGCAGTAGATTCTCCATCACTACACTACAGTAGGCTTCATAAAATGTTTTTCTCAAACCTAAGGAATTCTTCATGTGTTGTGCAAAACTGCTGTTCTATATGCTCAGTTTAGTTGCACAATATGCACATGTAAGGTGGGAGCCTTTAAAATTAACTTAAACATTTTACATTTTAAACTTGTCGTAAAACATAATTCTACAGTGGAAATATTAAATGCACAAACAAAATGCACAACCAAAATCACCACATATACAGTAAGACATGTATGACAGAGGGGTGGTGATAAACTGATGGCAGTGACACACTTGAATTTACTTTGGTGGAGGCATCTTTTGTCTTTACTACTGTGGCATTATTTTTTAATTATTAAAACTGTTTTGGTCTAGTTTTAGGATCAGAGTAGAGTAAAACAATAATTGTAATAAAGAATAAAGATATTTGTCCTCCAATGAAGGGGCATGTCCATGGAATAACCTTGGGTAGCCGCAGGCCTACCCCTGAGATATGATTGGCTGTCTGCCCGGTCAGAGGCGGGATCTTAGGTCAAATGCTTTTGTAGCATTTCATTGTGGCACATTTTCTGTAAGAGAATTATATTGTAGATTTGAAGTTTTGCATGTAATTTATTTTAATTGTGTTGGTACTTTGATTGTACTGTGACTGTATTTTTGAAAGTACACAGTTTTCTTTTGTATAAAGCCTACGGAGGTCCAATTTTAAAGGATAAGTATAATTTTTTAAAGAACTTAGAGGGAAATGTATGGAAGCGTTATTCTACATTTGTATGGTATCACTCGGTTGTTTTGAGATTGATAGGTCTGTTTATCTTTTAAACAAACATTTTAAACACGGGAATGTACAAAACTGTAAGATACTGTAATGTTGTATGATTAGTGGAGACAGAAATGGTAAATTAATGCTACTCTGACTTGTGTGCGTGCGCATGTACTTCATGCCACCCCTGTTTAAGTCAATGCCCTACTGCTCCACTGAGGAAAGAGGTAGGAAAAAAATAAAAATAAAACCCTTTTCACTATGTTCAGTGTTCACAATAACTCACTTTTACTTTTATTGTAATTAGATGCAACCAAATAAATTAAAGAAAATGATCACAAAAGCAAATGATGTCAGTGCCCTGGTTTATCAGAGTTAAATGTCTGATTGCTGACTTATAGCACACTGGCCTAAAGCTGGCTCCTGCTGCTCACATCTTGTGGAACGGGACAAAGCCAATACATCTACAGCCAGCCTGCTGTCCCTACACGTCGGACTATTAAGTGGGCTACTACGATCCTCAAGCCCTTTAGGTCAACAAGAGAGCCTCCTGGAAGCTTCACAATGTAATTACACCTGATGGAAACATGCTGCCACTGAAGTAGTATGATGGCTCATCAAGAGGTAGAAGCTCTTAGAGAGTGCATTAATGACAGGCCCTTCAGAGTAAAATGAGATGATGCATGCTGGAAAAGAAACAGGAGTGACAGAACAAGGAGACACTGAATCAGGCAAGAGATAATGACTCAAAAGACCATAATATGATAATATGCAGGATGACCTGAAAGGATCAAGTGGGAAAAATGCTACAGCATGCCTTTACTGTTTACTGCTATCAGATGATCAGTGTAATGTACAGTTTGCGTTGATGGAGGAGATGGAAAGGGTGTTTTCGCAGTGGCTTTTCATAAAAACCGTCTTACCTCCGACTCCACTGTTGCAGAGAGGTGGAGGATATGCAACCACTTTATAGGTAATGATGGGCAGTAATAAAGAAATTGTATTAGGAAACAGTGAATTTACCTTTTAACATAAACAATGTTGAAGTGGCAAATTAAAGCATTGAAATCACAAATCAGGAGGGAGCTAACTGAATTTGTATGTAGAATTAATATGTTAATATCAAACAGCAATGATTACCTGCAGTTATGCTCACATTGCCCACTAAAAGAAAAGGAGAAACAAAAGGGTGTTTTTTTTAATCATACAGAACATCGTAGGGAAATGGGAAATTTAAATGTAAAAAAAGTAAAGTAAATCAAAAATTCTTACTGGATTTCCTGTTCTGCTGATTTTCTCTGTAGAGTCGATGCACTCGCTCCAGCAACTCCCACTTCTCGCAGCAGCCAGAGTAATTGACAAAGTTCCTGGCGAGAATCTCTTTCAGCTGGCGGACGGAGAGGTTTTCTATCGCCTCTTCATTGTCCAGATCAGACAGTGAGGCCCTGATCCTCCTCTGTGTCGCCGGACTGACCTACAATCCACAGAGCTGTGGTCACTGACGGTACAAACACTATTCAGCACAGTAAATGTGCCCCCCCCAAAAAGAAGCAAGTGTTCAACCTCTAAGATATTTTCAGTGGGCTCCAGGGTCAAGAGAGACGCTGTTGGAGTGTCCTCGTGCTCCTGTTTGAGGAATCAACACACTGAAGTTAATTTAAGTTGGTTTAAATTCTCTTAACAGCATTTCCCTCACTGATCATCCTGTTAAAACACAAGTCAAATCATGTATAAAAATATGACCTTGGGTTTTGAAGCTGAAACCGATATACCAAAGCTACTAACTGCAGATTTGAGGCAGCTGAACTGACAAGAAACATACTTAATTGATCCATGTTTGTTTGTCTCATTAATGGGATCATCAACCCCTCAGCGTAAGAACATCCTGGTACCGCTTCTTATTACATCTGTCCTTCTACATTCCTCAACACTATCGCTAGATTCGCTGTGCCTGTTCAGATATCTAATGAAAGAGAACAGAGATGCTCTTAACTCTGTGGCAAATTATTCTCTTTGAGGGTGGAGGTCAGGAATTTGGTGGATAAAAGGCGAGTAAATGGAGCTACAGAATAGCGTAGACACTGTTTGGTATGAGTGTCTAGCTGCATATTATCTTAGTCATTTATGTGCGCTTTGAAGAGAAGATATCTCTTTATTCTTTTATCTGCAGGACAAAAGATAGCATGTGAAGGGCTGGAATAAGCTATAACTGAGTCCGATATGATGCTGTCTGTGCGTTTCTGTACTGTAAAAAGTAAAAAAAAAACTTAAAAAAAACATCTGTCCGTGCCGTCTGTTTCTGTCTCCCTCTGCTTCAGCACATTCCAGCCGACTGCCATCTTCCTCGTATGAAGACGTGTTAATAATGTATCCGTCAGCGTCTTGGTGCTAGATGCCCAGGCAGGATGCTTTTGCTCAGGCAGCAGCAGCCCTGACACACGAGGAGTGCCAAACCTCTCGGGAAAGCACAGAGTTTCTTTGACTCGATGTTGGATTTCATTTAACCACTTTAAACATGTGAAAGTACTAGAAAGCTCTCTACTCGTACTTCTGTCAAGGCTGCACAAGCTGCTAAATTTGCTCTCTTAATAATAGATAATATTACGAAATGTTTCATCTGCATGAAAATATACACAGCGATAGAAAATGCTGAAGACAAGAAAATCCCTCGATCAATGGCCCATAATTTGACTTTTTAAAAATTTTTACCAAATATAATTGAAATCTGCAGTTTCTACAGTTTTGAGAAATCTTGCTGACAAAAACAAACTGGACCATAATAAGATATCTTTAGTATTTGAATAGTGATATAAATGTTGGATTTTGCATTACAATGTTTCCTATACCCTGCAAAAACTGCAGTTCAAAAAAGCAATAATCCATCCTTATTTCAGGATGATTAAATGTTATTTTTCCTTATCCAATATTCTTGTCAATCACCATTTGCATTAGATTATTAAACCTTTTTCAAGATAACAGATCCAAATGAGTCCTAGGAAGACTTTCAACCTATTTTTCAGCTGGAGATGATAAGAAAATAAAGTGTGGATTGTCTGGTTGCCACATCAACATCCTAAACATCTATTCAGAAAACAAGAAGGAATTGGTTATTTCAAGAAACTGTCCAACAAGAACAGCACTGCATATCTTTGTTTTGTTTGTTAAAAGCAGTTGGACGTTGACAGATTTTTAAGTTTCTATAAACAATGGCCAAGTGGTTTGATACAAATGTGTCAGATTACACAATATTTTTGCAGTGTATCCATTTACAATACATACTGTATTTACCTTTGGTTGTAAAAATAAATAATTCTCAAGAATCTTAAAGCGACAAAAATAAGGGGGAGGGGAAAAAAAGAGATCGTCTATGGTGGTTGAGAGGAGGGATGTACTGTAGTGTTTCTGTTTGGTTGCAGCTGTGACGCTGTGGGGAGTTCTCAACCTGTGTGCCTGTTACATAACAGACACAGCCTATGTAACCGACCTAAAAAAGGCAAAGGCTTAAGCTGGGTTGCTGGCTGGTCTGAGGGCTCTGCGCGCACGCACACGCGTGCACACACACACAACACGGCTGTTCCAGCTGTCACATGCACATTACGTTAGAGCTGCAGTGCTGCAAATCTGAGCTTTTTTACTATCAATGGAGGGGGAAAATCCAGTGAAATGTAGATTTTAAGGGAGAAACAATTTCTTCAGAACAAAGCACCACAAGGCCATAACAACAAAGAAGATAGCACAAAGGAAAGAATAAAGAATGCACTGACATCTAAAATGCACGGGAGTGTGTTTGTTTGTCAGGGAGTTGAAAGGAAGAAGTCTCTCTCTCTTCTTCTTGAAACTTATAAAGAAGCTGATTTCACCTTTGAAATTAATTATCTTGGATAGAATGAGGACAGATGTGTCAATGAGTCAATGAGTGAACGTATGCTGCTCCTGTGTGTGTGGCTGCACAGTACACAGAGTTAGCTCTGCATGGAGACTCACACTACACATCAGCAGTGTGTTTTCACACGTGCACACGGTGACAAACCTGGCTGGTGGTCCCTGAGCTGTCACTTGGGCTGAGCACGTCTCCCTGAGAGGCGGAGAGGGCCGACTGTTCGGAAGCAGAGCGCGTGGCGCAGGGGGGCGAGGCGGTGCGCGAGTGGGGGAGTGAGTGCAGACTGTCTGTGTCATCTTCCCCTTCATCTTCCTCCTCCTCCTCCTCCTCCTCCTCCTCCTCATGTGTGTCCACTTCCTCCTCCTCATCGTCCTCCTCTTCCTCCTCGTCCTCTTCCACTACTGGTCTCGGGGTTTCCCTCGTCCCCTGGTGACAGAGCACCAGGTCCACCAGGTCCTCCTTCTCCCTGCATGTGTCGGTGGAGATGTTGCGTAGCAGCAGGTACTGGCGCAGGTCTTTTACTCTGAGCTGCATGAGCCGAGGTCTCTGGAAGGCTGTGCCGCGCAGCAGGTGGCAGGTTGTGCAGCAGCGCAGGTTCTCCTGAAGAACCGAGCACAGGGCGCAGAAACTCTTCTTACAATCACAGCAGATGTGCTGTCGGGGGGAGAAGAGATTCAGAGACAGACATGATGTGATCAGACAAAGAAGCCAAACATTTCCAACACCGTCAAGAAACTCATCATTTCTAAATGTCCCTGGTGTCTGACTTCTGTTAGCACATTAATCAATTTACCCTCTACATATTTCTTGCCATACAGTGACATATGTTGATGTTAGTCGATCAGCAGACAATGTTGTTTCCCAAATGTGAGGATTTACTGCTTTTCACTTAAATCATTGCAATCTTAATATTATGGGTTTTTTGGACAGCTAGTTAGACAAAACAAGCAATTTCAAGATGTTGCTGTGGGAAATTTAGATGGCCACTTTTCATTATTTTCCAAACTTTTATGTAGATTCATCGATGAACTGTCAAAATATTGACAGATTCATTGATTGTAAAAAAAAAGTTAAGATATTTTAATAATCTATATCAGAAAAAAATTCGTATTCATATTGTTATACTGATTTCAATGGTTAATTACGTTTTTCCTACAGTCTGCTGTCTTTGAGTGGATCCCGAAACAAAGAGAAACCTTAGAAATCAGCAACACAAAGTTCCCTCGGCAACAGTGGCTCATAGAAAAGAAGAAAAATGGAGCTCCTCGTGATGTTTGACATTTCACTGGCTTAACACAGTCTCCTGATACATAGCTGCTGAGTAGATTGACACTTCAAATGGACAGAAAAGCAGGTCAGCCATGGCTGTAAACATATTCTTATCACTTGTGCACAAATGTGCTCTGGTCCACCAGAAGCGCATTTCCACAGCAACTGGATACTTTTCTTCAATCATTTGTTGTTAATCCCCCAGCACGTCTTTTCTCACACTATGAAAATATCACGCTGACACACAAATGTGTGTGTCCAGGAATTCAGTGAGGCAACCGGTGTGTGGATGACGATAGTGCGATCTGAAGCAGTGAGTGGAGCGGAAGCCGGGCACTGCAGCGTTTTCATCAGTGTCTCAGTGCGTCTCACTGCCAGATACACTCTGCACAGCCGAACATGTCAGAATGGCAGAGACCCTGGAAATGCCAGCATGAATTTGTATATGGTGCATGTGCTTAAAAGGATGCCAGTGATTTTTTTTTGCACATTAACTATGCAAGTTGTGTCTGATTTACAAGGCTGCTGACCATTTTTAAGGACAAACCAAGTTTTTTAGGTCAACTTACAACTTCAAGGGTCACAAGACAAATCATGTGTTGTGAGATGATTAACAGGATAGGATTGAATCTGTTGTTTTTTGTGAAATAATGGATAATTTTAAATCTCAGAACCATCTGAGAAGTTTATAAAATAGGAAATCACTCCTTGGTGGAACTGCTGACAACTAGTAGACATGGGAAATATGATAACAAGGAGTCAACAGGACACTCCTTTTTTGTAGACGCCAAAAATGTTATGACCTACTGGTTAAATCTTTACCAATGTATTGTATTTTAATTTTAATCTGAAAGGTAGTAACTATAGTTCAACATATGCATGTAGTGGACTACATCTTTAAACTTACTTCAAATAGGTTTTCCATCACATTATACAAATATAATCATCCTCTACCTGCCTGTGATGGCCTTAATCGAGCCCGCGCTTATTTTACTGGCTGTTATTCTTTGTTGTTAATAGCTGACTTCTTCTGTTATTTCATTCCCCTTAACTGTTTACAGGTCATTGCAGTAAAATATAAAGTATGTTGCTCAGCCAACCTACCCTGCATAAATTAAGATGAAATAAATTAGCTACACCTTGTCAGTGCTTTAACCCTAAAGGAAAAACAGAACAATGTAAATGATACTATAAATCTGAGTTACACTGAAATGATACTTCTTGCATTTCAGTGTGATACACATCAATATTATTTCGTAGGTTTTTGCATTAGAAAAGTGTCCATTCAGCAAGTGACTCAGTCATTATGGATGTCAGTATTTCCTTGAATGCACCATGAAAAGAAGTCCCTACTCACAACTGCACGCAAGGATTACATAATTCAGACATTAAAAAAAAGCTGATTACTCAGGCAAGCTTTTGGTCTCTGCAAGTTTTTTATACAGTTTTGACATGAAGTGAAGCTGCTGATCAGTCCAAACACATAGTTTGCTTTGGAAAATGATCAGTAGTACTGCACAGTAAACAAGATTTGTATTTAATAGGATAAAACATGCAAAACCCAACGGTAAGGTCTTTTGATATTATATACCTCACCTCTAAATTCAGAGAAATCTCTCTTACTGCCTCTAACCACCATCACAGCCGCCTGTATGAAACCGTTTTCATCACCAAACTCATCACGACCACCACTGGCATCACCTTGCGTCTGAAGACAGAGAAGGCCAGTCCGCAGGCCTTGCACAGCTGTCCAGCGCTCCCTGAGCTGGTGGGGGGGTAGGTGGAGTACCCGGCGCTGGGAGCAAAGCGGAAGGGCCCCGCCCCTGCTCCGAACCCCGGCTGCTGTGCCCGCACCGTGCCCGTGCCCATCACCTCGTTCAGCAGCCCACAGCATGACGCCCACATGGACGATGCTCCCGCCTACATAGCACACGCACAGAAACACACACACGTAAAACCTTTTAGAGACATCTTACACAGAAGTTTAGACGGCATCATCAGCGACAAAGTATTTTCTTTATGAATATATAATAAGGCAATGTCCACATGATTTTTTATAGCAGCGCTGTTCAAATAAATTAAAATATTCTAGATGTCTTGTGCATAATTTCATACAAGTTTCCCCAAAATTCAGTCTGACATGTTTGGTATCCTTGGAAACTTTGGGATCTCCATCATTTAAACTCATCCTCTGGCGTTTCAAGACGGAAAGATGTCCCAGTATAACACATCTGTGAGAACATTTATTATTATGCTGCCGCTCACTAATTTATAAAAGTGTAATTTGAGTAAAGCAAGTGATGTCTTGCTTTCGCTGAAATCTGTAAAAGGTTTATTAAATGATTTTGTCAAAATAAAAAAAGTCAAGTAAATTTGAATTAAAAACTAACAATTGGTTATTGAGGTTTTACATATAGGTGTCAATTCATTCATTGCAAATGGACCTTTTTGATTCCTCTATATAGTTTCCATAGATTTGATACAAAGATGAGAGACACACTGAAGGGAAAACCAATATAAAGTGTCTTAATAAAGTTTTCGGTGCCGCCTTGCATGTATTAATTCTTCCAAAAGACAATCCCTCAATCGGGTGTTTTAATGATGGTGATAGTCTGTCTAACACATTGGTCCATAATGTCCCAGAGATGTTCAATTTAGTCACTCCTTTGTGTGTATGGAAGTTTAATTGGTCGCCTGTATGTGCAGCAAACTAGTAAAAAAAAAAATTCTTATAAATATCATGATACTGATTTTAACAATATCACACAGTCATTTGCTGAAAACGGCTTAAGGAGATAATCTCCTTTGAGGAAAAAAAAACAGGAGGAAAAAATGAATGAGAAGGAGAGAGAGAGAGAGGAGGGGGAGATACCGGGCAGCACATTATAGAGAGTGCTCTGTAAGTGTCTTTGAGGTTAGAGATAATTAGACAGTAGTAAACTCTAAAAGCTGCTATTAATGACACTCTCCAAAGAGAGCTGAAAGTTAAATTTCTGAGTCGCTGCATCATTTTGTACAATCTGATAAACAAATAAGCCAGGCAGAAGCAGAGGGTGTGTTGAGAGCTACTCAGCCACACAACAGATATCTTGCCAGGGTCAAATGGGAAGAGGTGGGTGTATGTATATTATGTAGCCTCTGTGTGTCCTGAGGAAACTAGCTTTAAGTAAGTGGACTGTAAAGTTAAAGTGAGTGCCCACGCATAAGAGGCACAGTCGTCGGATTTGTTTGCTGACCACAAGAAGGGCCGGAGACAGGGAGCAAAGATGGCGTGATGGGAGCCACGGCTCCTTGGAGCATACTGATGAGAGAAGGAGGGAGGGGGAGGATGGCGAGGAGAGAATATGTCTTCTGTTGTTCTCTGGCCTGCAGAATCAATAGCTGACATGAGCATAATGTAAGCCCTCTGTGGATCCCGGCTCTATGCGGGGAAACAATGGAATTCACAAGGTCCCGCCACATCGCTTTCTTAAGGCAGCACTCGGCTCCGACTTGTCACAAACACCCTGTGATCTGACCTCACCCATCTGCTTAGGGAACTGTTATGTAATCTGAGGAATGAAGCACTATATGTGGAGTCACAGTGAGAAGGAGGGAGGTCTGCCCCTGCTGCACTGACGCGGTCGGGGTGGATTTTTAAAAGGTTAAATCTATCACTTAACTGAATTTTTTGGTAGGTTTGTGAGATGGATCCTCACCATTACCCACAGCCCAGGGTGACATCTTAAATGGCTTGTCTGACCAACAGTTCAAAACCAGAGTGTACTCAATTTACAGCGATAGAAAACCAGCTATTAGAGACAATTGCCATTATTGCTTCATAAACTTTTAATCAATACATTTTTTGTCAAATGTTTGAGCTCTAATATTTTGTGAACTTCTGCTGTTTTATGTGTTGTTTCCCCAAGCAGCTGACTTTATCATGATATACTCCTCCAGGTTTATGTGCACAAAAAAACCCCATGATGCATAACAACTTGAATAATTCGCCTGTGGCATAAACGTGTCCTGATGCTCAGCTGCTAAAAAGTCGCCCAAGTTATGCATCCTCCTTCATATCGAATTGAAGCCACTAAAAAAAGGAATTTTTACTGCATTCTCCAGGATGAAGAGCTGCTGCAGTCTGGCCATGAAATCAGTCTTATCTGGCTGTGAGCCAGCAGCACGAGCTCCCCCTGTCACTTCAATTAGCACACTGTAAGCTCTGCAGGCAGGGAGTCCCGAACAAACAAGTGACAAGAGCAAACATCACATGTAGTACATTGTTTTTAGTTGTATCTTTAGATTTTGTCCCCTATAGCTATAGCTCTGGGAAGGCTATTTTGTATGAATGCATTTTTGGCATTCCAGTCACCTCTGGACCAAATAATTGAGATATTTCTCAAACCTCTGCAGGATCTTCAACATCAAACAGGGTCAGCAAACAAAGTGTGCACACAAACACTGGGAGGGGATAGCAGCAAAAAGTAACTGAGGCACAGATTTAAATAGAAAAACCTAAAAGAGAGGAAAACCAGCAATGCTCAGGCCTCGTGTGGACAAACAGTGATATGACTTCATAAAATAAGTTTTTGACGATCAAATTTTAAAAAATTGCATCGACACAAACAAGTGGAATCATATGGGACTCTAGATGGAGCCTAAATGGGTCATGTGAAGACTTGAGTGTTTAACTGGGACTGAAATGACACCACAAGAGAAAATACTTTTTTACCTTTCTTTGAGTAACATTATTTATACGCATCTGCGGATTTATCTACTCCCGAAACGTTAGCCGCTCACTGACCAAATGACAACAATAAGGACATTTCTAAACACACTGAGATAAAAATTACGATTTTACACATGAAGTTCAGTTTATTCACTACAAAGATGTACTACACAGCCCGAGAACACAGTTATATAATGTCAATTGTGGCTCTGGAGGAGCTTCCGTCTGAAAGAAATAACCCTAATGATGTCTAATTAGCTATTTAGTTACATTGTGGGAAATGTAGTATCCAGTGTTTTTGGGATTCTATACTAACTATACCTTGGATTTTTTATCATACTTTTTCAAATCTGTCTCTCTCTTCTCTTGTCCTCAAGCTTAATGGAAGTTAAGCACAAACTTTCTGGAGTACCCCTTTAAGCAACAGTCTATGCGAGGGGTGGATGATATGGACCAAATCTCTGTAAGTGTGTACTGTGTGTAATTTTATGTCATGATAGTGATAGACAGTATATCATGACACAATACATTTTTTGGATGGGAATGTTTTTGGTTAATCCAGTGATTTAAACACCTGAAAAAAGTGGATAGTTACATCTGTATTAATGGTATAACAAAATCTCTGATCAGTATATTTTGTCATATTTTATAGGCATCAGTATATAGATATAAACCAAACAGTATTATGTTGGTGCTCAGTGTAAACAACTGTGCACTATCATACATTTTAAAGTCATCATCCACTATCTTTCCATCATCTACCAGCTCTCTCTCTCTCTCTCTCGCATTTCATTTCCTTTTTCTCTCTGCTGAATCTTTCCCCCCCTTTTTTCTCCGGCATCAACTGGAAATGTCACTCATACCGTGAAAAGTGACTGCAGCCCCCCTCACTGTTGAGACCGGAGAGTAATGTTGCCACCAAAAATAGAGGAATCCATTAGTCTTTTGTTGGTTTGTTTTTTTTGTCAAGAGATGATGAGAATAAATCTAATATTTTATCTACATGCGGCATATAGATGTGAATGATTCAGCGATGTTTGCTGGAGTCTGCAGATGTCAAATCCAGTGGCGTCTGGAGAGATAGGCACATAAACCTCAAGCTGCTACCAGCTAAGTTTGGATTTGTGTCTGCAAAATAACAGATTTACACAGTTTACTCCAAAGGCAGAGGAGGACTTGGGGAGGATTTAGCCTGGAGAATACTTTTGGTGCAACAGTACAAAGCGAATCAGACTACTGCGGAGATTGTCCTGCAATATCAAAACATGACTGGACTATTTTACAACCACTGCCAGAAATCTGCTGTTCCCCCTGGACTCTCTTTATAGCTTCTTTGACTTCTCTATCATCATTAAGGTTGTTTAATCTCATTTGGAATAATTATGTTCCACTATTCTACATCAGTGCATCTTACGATTTCAGAGGTTTGTCAGAATGTGTGTCCATGTACACGATGGGCTGGGAAAATGAAATGGTAAGAGGATTTTGAATGGAAAGTATAGAAAAAGGTCACAGACTAAGTCATAGGTTTATCCCTGATTCCTGGGCAGCAGTCTTTCCCGTTTTGAGATGTATGCTTACACAATTCAGCTAACAATCCAGCCCCGTTCCACAGGGGCAGAAAAGCTGCTTTTCACTTTAAACCAGATTAGTCAATAAAACATCACGTCCATTTTGTTTTCTGAGGACACGGTGAGTGATGGTGTCTTAGGAAAAAGAACTACACTGTCCACCGAGAGTTATGCACCTCTATCCTTTTGTCTTCCACAGTATTGTGACAAATAGTATTCAAATGCTACTGCATACAAGTGATAACAGAAGTGCTGAGGTATTTGCAGAAAATTTACTTTAGTATCATTTGTTAACAATGTGTTCGTACAGTGTTAAATAATTGTTGCATTGTGTGCAAAGCTACTTTTTGTTGAGTTTGAGCAGAAAATGATCTTTGTGATTGTGGCCTTAAAGGTATAATGTGTAAGGTTTGAGACTTCTCTCCACCTTTGAATTCATACTCCCAAAAAATAGGGGGCAGCAAATCACATCAGGTCATACCTGCTGTAAACTGCTGTTAGCTAGTTAGCTCCGTTAGCCATTCTGCTAACTTAACTGCCCTATTAGCTGACTGAGTCTGGAAAAGGCACCAGAATGGGCGAGCGGGCAACAGAACCGGGTCCGAACACAGCCTCTGAAAACCGACGAAGGCCAGTTTGACGACAGGGAATACAGTACCGAGGTGATTTACAGCGGCTCCGACCAGGACTCTGACTCCGGGGACGACGGAGATACGGCGGGTTCAGGCGGGAACGGCAGAGGCGTCAAGCGGCAGCCTAAGGAAGATAACAGATATTTTTGCCCCATGCAGAATTAAAACTTACACAGAAGGGTAACATTACTCCAAAACACACAATGTACAGTTAAAAAGGGCATTTGGTGAAAGTAACTTAGTTGAAAAAAAATAAAAGACCAACATCGTTTGCACAGGCCTGGAAAAACCATCTCCTCCCTTAACTCCAGAAATGTTGAGATATTTAGATATTAAAATATCGACCAGTCAGAGCTGAGTGGCTGGCTATTTAGTTTGCGGCTGCTGCTTGTGGGAAACCCTCAGTTCACACAAATCACAGTATATTACTATTAAATATAGGGGAGTAAAATATGCTACAGTTGAAAAACTCAAGTAACTACTTCAAAACAATATTAGGAAGTAAATGTACTTGCCACTAGAGTTACTTTGCAACAGTAGTAGTTTTTAAAGTGCTCATTGATGCAGTCAGCTTTAAATAAGAAGGATCCAATCAGCTACAGTATAACTGCAATAACTAATCTGTCACTTGACTCAAACAGTAGCGTAATTCATCATATTGTGCGTACACAGTAGGCTACTAATGATTGACGATACTGGTTGTGGTTGTAGCTGCAGTCCTGCCTCCACCTCACCTTTCACAGCGACTGTCACCACAAACCTGCCGCCACCAGAGCACCTATGACATCATCGACATCATCTCATTATCAATACTGAGCTCGGGCTGCTAGACAGCATCATCACCTTTCCTTCCCTGTGCTGCAGACAGTCTCTTCTACAGCACACACACACACACGGAAGAAGACTCCTGACACAGCTCGGACCGGAGAGGAGAATCTCTCCTCCAAACATCCCCGCACTCACCCTCTCCCTGACCGCAGTCTCTATCTCATTAGAGCGGATTAAAGCCTGCCGATGACTGGACGTCGCTCCAGCGGCTTTAGTCCACTGAACTATCACACTGGGGTCAACGCAGGCTCATTAAAAGGCCACACACTGTACCTACTGTTTAGCAGGGAAAGCATTTCCAGGCTTGCACCCTCGCCAGGAAGATAAAAAAAAATCGGATTGACAGAGCTGAACAGCAGCGGCGACGAGATGAGTTAAAACCAAACAGTGAATGCGGCATTGACATGCAAGCCTGTTGATATTATTACATCTAAGTGCACACAAACACGTTTAATTGAAATTAGGATGGAGGTATTCCCTGCCTCTCGGTGCAGCGTCGCGCGTCAACCACAAGAAATCTGCATCCGCAGGTGAATCCCAATCACAAACGAACCGCGCTGACTGCTCACATACCTTCATTGCACTTCCCGTTTGAGGAATTTGCCGAGTAATGTCAGGACGACGACCATTGCAAGCGCACGGGGAATCAAACCATTACGTCTTCCCTCTCTCCAGCTGCCTGTGTGGTGTGGAGTAAGCATAACGTAATGGCCAAGAGAGCCGCAGCCAACCACAGAGCGCACACAGGCGCTGGTATCTTTAGCAGCCAATCCGCTTTAACACATCGCCGGAGTGGGCGTTCAGTGCCGTGCGTAAAGACGCGTGTGTTGAGCCTGACAGACGCATCATGCTATTTTCACAGCATCGGTTTTAATCTACTGAATTAGCAATTTTTTTCACCGACAGTTGTGTCTTATAATAATAAGCGTGGCAGGTAAGGGGCTCAACTGCGTCCGACTTGCATCTGTCCAATCAACTTCCTTTTTTAAATGTTTATTTTATAATCTCTGAGATATTCTGCATTATTGATTTAGTTGCTAAGGCATCAAATTTGAGGAATTTTTTTTTTCACGGTCTGCAGTTCAATCACAGGCAGCACAACCAAGATTATCCTCTGCGCCAACACAGTGTTATTTCTGTTCGGTTTTGTACCATAACTAAATGCGTCCACAATGTTATTTACCGCCATATTTAGCCTATGCGTGTGCGCTCGTGCATTCCCACGCGCGTGCACACATGTCTGCTGTCTGCAGTAAGGAGATTAGAGGGGTTTTCTGCCATTACATCGCCAGTGCAGCTGTGAGCCCGCAGGGGGCAGCAGATAGCGCTGCAACCTCATTATTATGGTTCAGACATTTAACTGAGCCAAGGCTGTTCACTATGTTCTTACCCAACAATGCAGCTGAAATCTACAAATTTAGCCTATAAGTTTTGCTGTTGCAGCTGTGTAGTGTAGTAGACAAAAGTTATTTCAAGGTGCTGATGAATCAAAATAATGCAAATACAGTATCATGCTGTTGCCTGAGCCTCTTTAAATTATCTGCTATTTCCAGTACATCAAACAGTGACTCCACTGTGTTGATTTTATTATACACAACCACATTAAAAGATCTGTGGAGGCCCTCGGGCCACCGGTGACACATTTTACAGCTTTAGATGAGGCCTGAATATTCTTCCACATTGTTCAAACATCAGAAGTTGTATTGGAGGGTGGACGTGTGCAAACTCGCTCTCACATTTGAAAAATACAGACACATTACCAGTGGAGTATGTGCAGCTGTGACTTCACCTTAAAGGGTGAGTTTACTCAAATTACAACATATTTTCTCCTACCTTTATTGGTTTAGAGCGGTGCAAATACTTTTTTTGATTGGTTTTGACATATCCCGTCCATCTCTGAGAGTTTTGCCTCCAACCAAACACAGTAAATGTGAATTAAATTGTTTGTGATGCAAGGAGCATTAAAAAAATTCCAACATCTTTTTTTTCTCCCCCAGAAACTGTGTCCCAATTTCTCTTGATAATCCACAGAGCTCACTGTCAACAGTTTTCATGGGGACTATTTCTTCAGTAGATCCAATGAAAACTGTCAGCAGATAATCTATGGGAACTGGGACACTGTTGTTTGCTGCTGATTTTGATTAATTTAATTTTTGACGGTAAGAGCACCACATGACATCTTTTGATTTGGTTAATCGACCCTTTAACCTAACCTCATTCTTTCCATTTAATCATGCTTGAGAATTAGATTTTAAGACTGACTACATGACCCTGAATAGCCATATAAAGGTTTCATAGTGTCAGACGCTTGATAAGACTCTATCAGTATGGTCATTATTGAATTTTTTATTGGGACAAATACAGAGTAATGCAATTACAGCATTTAATAAAGCGTGTACAGACGTGCTCAAATTTGTTGGTACCCTTACAGCTCATTGAAATAATGCTTCATTCCTCCTGAGAAGTGATGAAATTAAAAGCTATTTTATCATGTATACTTGCATGCCTTTGGTATGTCATAGAATAAAGCAAAGAAGCTGTGAAAAGAAATGAATTATTGCTTATTCTACAAAGATATTCTAAAATGGCCTGGACACATTTGTTGGTACCCCTTAGAAAAGATAATAAATAATTGGATTATAGTGATATTTCAAACTAATTAGTTTCTTTAATTAGTATCACACATGTCTCCAATCTTGTAATCAGTCATTCAGCCTATTTAAATGGAGTAAAGTAGTCACTGTGCTGTTTGGTATCATTGTGTGCACCACACTGAACATGGACCAGAGAAAGCAAAGGAGAGAGTTGTCTGAGGAGATCAGAAAGAAAATAATAGACAAGCATGGTAAAGGTAAAGGCTACAAGACCATCTCCAAGCAGCTTGATGTTCCTGTGACTACAGTTGCAAATATTATTAAGAAGTTTAAGGTCCATGGAACTGTAGCCAACCTCCCTGGGCGCGGCCGCAAGAGGAAAATCGACCCCAGATTGAACAGAAGGATAGTGCGAATGGTAGAAAAAGAACCAAGGATAACTGCCAAAGAGATACAAGCTGAACTCCAAGGTGAAGGTACGTCAGTTTCTGATCGCACCATCCGTCGCTTTTTGAGCGAAAGTGGGCTCCATGGAAGAAGACCCAGGAGGACTCCACTTCTGAAAGAAAAACATAAAAAAGCCAGACTGGAATTTGCTAAAATGCATATTGGCAAGCCACAATCCTTCTGGGAGAATGTCCTTTGGACAGATGAGTCAAAACTGGAGCTTTTTGGCAAGTCACATCAGCTCTATGTTCACAGACGAAAAAATGAAGCTTTCAAAGAAAAGAACACCATACCTACAGTGAAACATGGAGGAGGCTCGGTTATGTTTTGGGGCTGCTTTGCTGCGCCTGGCACAGGGTGCCTTGAATCTGTGCAGGGCACAATGAAATCTCAAGACTATCAAGACATTCGAAACGTACTGCCCAGAGTCAGAAAGCTCTGTCTCAGTCGCAGGTCATGGGTCCTCCAACAGGATAATGACCCAAAACACACAGCTAAAAGCACCCAAGAATGGATAAGAACAAAACGTTGGACTATTCTGAAGTGGCCTTCTATGAGTCCTGATCTGAATCCTATCGAACATCTATGGAAAGAGCTGAAACATGCAGTCTGGAGAAGGCACCCATCAAACCTGAGACAGCTGGAGCAGTTTGCTCAGGAAGAGTGGGCCAAACTACCTGTTAACAGGTGCAGAGGTGTCATTGAGAGCTACAGAAAACGTTTGATTGCAGTGATTGCATCTAAAGGTTGTGCAACAAAATATTAGGTTAGCGGTCCCATCATTTTTGTCCATGCCATTTTCATTTGTTTTATTATTTACAATATTATGTTGAATAAACAATCAAAAGAAAAGTCTGATTTCTATTAAATGTGGAATAAACAATGGTGGATGCCAATTACTTTTGTCAGTTTCAAGTTATTTCAGAGAAAATTGTGCATTCTTTGTTTTTTGTGGAGGGGTACCAACAAATTTGAGCACATCTGTATTTTATATTGCACCAACAGAACAAGGACAAGGATGAGGAATGTATTCTGTGTGTGTGTGTGTGTGTGTGTGTGTGTGTGTGTAGAGACATTCAGCTCATCCTTGTACAAAATAGCACCTGGTATCGATAGAACACACATGAGTTAAACGATGTTTATCTAAAGAAGTATTACTTTTGTCCCAGTTATCCTTTCAGGTGTCAGATTCGATCACTCAGACCACATTCGTAGGTGGTCTAAGCTATATTCTTTCAGCAGTGTGTATGTAAATATGTCCTGGGCCACACCGAAGGACTGCCTGTACTCAACAGATGTCCTCTGCGTAAGTGGATGTACGTAGCACTAGCAATTAACCACTACAATCAAGCTAACTTTAGTGGATAGCTCTGCAACACAATACGTAGTCGTCTTTGACATAATGTCACAGCTGTTACTTCTTCACATTCTGTTGATAATGTTAGTTCATTTAAAAAACATTTTAAACTAAATCTTACACATTGCACCTTTAATGCCAATGCCAGGTGTAAACAGGGCCACAGGGGCTGTCTTTGACTCGTGCGTGTTCCGGGGGCTCAATGGCCAATCAAAACCATGACTCAGTTCATCAGAATTTGATCAATTCGGTCCGATAACATTTGGAAAGTCTAGAAGAGCCTCACAATTAAATTATTTTACCCCTTCCAAGAAAGCATAGGGCTAAACTGGAGGTTAGGCAGCTCGTCCTGCGGAAGTCTATGATGCGCGTACTCTTTGACCGGCCACCCAAAAAGGCTTGACCGGACTAAACAAAACAAAACAAATAAAAACAACAGAAGATTTTCTTTAATTATATTCTGCCCTGTTGAAAGATGATAAACATTTGCTTATCTTATTTGGCACATTTCAAAATACGTAAAATACCGTAGTACCTAATTAAAATACATTAGTTCATGTTGTATTTTTATTTTAGGACATCTTTTCAGTAAGTAAGAATGACTTGAATGTTACTGTTGCTGTTTTATTTTCTATAAAATATTAAAAGAAGAAACAATAAGTGTTATTTATCTTAAAACATGACACAAAGTGTGATAAATGTAAATGAATGTTGTATAAAGGCTACTGTCTATATGTAATCAACCCTCACTGACCCGACTATGTATTAATACAAGTACACACACAGCCCACTGCTGAGCTCTGAAGCATTTGATGGAAATCTTCTTTCATCTTCAAGGGTGCTGAAGTCTGAGAATCAGCGTCAGTCTGAGTCTAAACATCACAACAGCCAAAAAGTGATGCTGGTGACTTTGAATGCGCTGTGATTGTTGATATCAGATAAGGTGTTTAAACAGAGAGTGGTGCAACAATCTTATCAGGGAGTGTGATTAGAAGAGAGAACTGTCAGACTGGTGAAGCATGGCAGAGCTGAAGTGAGCCAACAAAGTAAAAAGGCCAGTGGGAAAAGAGACATTATCTTAACACGGAAAACAAACATCTGTCCGATAACGAGAAATAACACCACTGGTCCTGTTTATGTCTGCTGGTCTCTCATATTCTGTTTACTGTCCGGCCTTGACCTGCCACTCAGTGGGAGTTTTGTTTATGTCATCCCTTCATGTTTGTTTGTTTTTATTCAGCTCTGCGAAAGAGTCTCAATTTCCCTTCAGGCTTTACAAAAAATGAAATCTTCTACATCAC